CAGCGCAGAAATATAAACAAACGCACACGCTCCACTAAATTAAATAAGGCTGCTGCTGCTTTTTTTGAAAATTGGTAGGTCGACTCCATTCAAATGAAACTGCGGGGTCCCTGCAAGTCCTAGGGGATTTAATTCAGCGCAGAGATTAGAGCCGAAGCGCCCGCGCCTGTGTATATGTTTGTAAAGATAAACCCCTGTTTAGCGAATGACGACTTTAAAAAAGCAGGTAGCTCTTTCACCTGCGCTCTTGCACGCAGAACAGAAGGCGCAGGGCTTTGCCCAAAGCAATCACACGATTTTCTCTGTGCCCTGCCTATATTAAGGGTGCTTTGAAAGAGATATTGCGACAAAGGGCCGCACGTGGGCGAAATGATTATCAATGTTGGCAACATGTTGAAATTCTAAAAACAAAACCCGCACGTTTTTATTAACTTTGGGAAGTGCAGGAGAACTAGGAGTGATTAAGAGTGGATGAAAGTATTGAAATTAAAAATAAAATGTATTTGGTAATTTAAATGATTGGATTTTGTTTTAAAAACAATTATTTTTAAAATATTTACATAAATTTTTTTTTTAATAACTTTATTCAAAAACAAAATCTTTCTTTTTATATTTTTGCTTTTTATTTTTAGTTCTTTAAATTTATTAAAAACATGAATGTTTTATATTGTTAAGACAGATATTGTCCGTTGGTACCCTTATTTGCAGTAAGTGCAATCATTTATTGCAATATATTATAAAGTAATAATACTTGTTTGATATTTTAGTTAGTAACAAAAACATGTCAACATAAATATTATTGTACTTCTCTCTACAAACACATGACATTAATTTTTTGGCATTATAAATAAAAAAATAAAATTATTTTTTAGGCTGTGGATTAAAACTAACAACGTTAAATATGCACACCACATTGAAATGAAAATTATTTCTCATGATTCAATTAATTGATTTATTGTTTATATGGTATTTCTGAAATTCAATTTAAAACTAACACTCGCTAAGTAAGTTTGAAGCTACTTTTAAGGAAACTATACAAAATTTATCCACTTCATCAGCGGCACATCAGACAAATTATGTCCGTCCAATTCCACTCTCGTCGCTCATCATCATTAGAGTGAGCTTTGGATCGCTCCATTCACAGCCGCTCCTCGGCTTTTTCTTTTCGTAGATAACCGAACGTATCGAGTTTCAAAAGAAAGACACAAAACGCCCCAGAATAAGAAACTTCTTGCGCCAGGCAAAGAAGACTCCTTTAGCAGTGGCATGTGCGGCGTTATCGCCACAAAAGTTTTTCTTGCTGCGACGGGATTTCTACGAATTAACGTCCTTCCCCGCGCAATAAAGAGACAAGTCGCGTTGCTAATGGAATGAAATTTGCATACAAACATGATACACTCGGTAATGAGAGTCAAAAGAAGCTGAGCGGCATTCCTTCATTACGGCCGTGAATTTTCTCCTCAGCATTAAGAATGCATTAAGCAAAAACGGCGAGTGGGTTTTTTTTCACAGAAGCGGCTCTGGTTTCATCAGCATGTGGAATTAAGCCGCAAGCTTACACCTTTTTCCACCCAGAATCGGAAGAAACTGCAAAGCCATACAACTTTTCCTCACGCCACAAAGGCACACGTACTTTGCTCGACACATGTTTTTGCAGAGTGTATACACCGAACAATTTGTTGGCTCTGTTCTGTGTGCAGCCGAGGGAAAAATCATTATTTTCGCTAGACAGGTATCCACTCAAAAATAAAATGACGTTTCCTTTCAATCATTTTTGTTCTTTTGGTTTCAAAAAGTGAAAAACCCACGCAGTTTTTAATTCAAACACCATTTTAGAAATGTTTGTAATTCATGATATTTCGATTAATTCCATTTTTTAAACATGATAAAGTGCAATAATATAATTTATAACATTGTCTTCAAATCTTCCACTCAGTATAAATACTTGTTTATTATTACTTGAAAAATGAAAAAAAAATGTGAAACAATTCAAATTAATTAAATGTACTGTGAATTTCTTTGAGTTTTGAATTCTTTTTCTAAGATTTTATTTGCGCAGTAGCCAGTCAGTACTCTTTCCGAACATGGTCTTGAAATAACGGGATCAAATTTGAAATTTATGAGGTCGGCGATATGAATAAAATGGTTATCTTCAAGGGCGTGTCTCCTTACTATGAATGTATTTTATAATGATCATCGGCCCATTAGACTAACAGAGTTGGGCCTGTTCTCTGCTCTCGCTCGTCATCCGCACCAAGAGTTATTATCCGCCATTTCTTCATACCCTCCTACACCCTCTCTTTGCCGTTGGAGATTCGTGATAGGAATATATGTATGGAAAGCGTTAGGTCTCATTAAGTATGAATTTTAACAGCCCACCTCCCGCCTTTACACGCATTTCCAGCTTTATAGCCAGGAGACAGTCAAATTCTGGTGCTCGCAGTCTCGCACAAGCGATTATGCTAATCTAGCATTAGATCCGCAGCGCGACGTCGGATAGTTAAACATGTGTTAAGCGGTCTTAATTTGTTTATGTTGGGACGCCCAAAATCCTGCATAATTGCACGACCCACCTTGTAGTAATGAACAGACGCTAAACACAGACGTAATAATTTTATTTTATTAAACTAATCATTAAATGGTTTCATCATATAAATTGGATAGATTTTGGCAAATTCTAGGTTGATTTGAATTTATGATTTATGCATCAGGAACACAAAAATTGGTAAAGAAATGATGAATGTACTTTTTTCACAAAATTAATTTTTTCCAACAAGTTAACTTTTTTCGTTATGACATAATTATTTTCATTTAAATTGACTCTCAATCAAATTACGTCTTGTTCATATTTGACCAAGGAAAATTGGAAAGCTAAACCACAGTTGCCACATTATTAATTTATCTTCGAATTTGTCTTTTCTAAAGACTTGTGTTTGATTTTCGTCTAACAATCAGCCACCCAAATGGCACTCATGAATAATTGAGCAGTTGTTTCCAAATGGGAATATAAAATCAATTTGCGTTTCCTCCAAGAGGCTTTCCAGCAGTTCCGCCGCACGCACAAATGGTTTCTTTTCTCAACTAAAAGAATCCAACTTCACGGACCGACGGCGACATTTTGTCTTGAAACGGTCAAAGGTCCGACGGCCTCCGTCCTTCCTCTTTGGAAAGTCCGCGCACAGATCAGCATCATTGGGCCGCGTTTATTGGATGTGATCAAAATTTCAATTACGCGTGCTGGCACAACTGCTGAATTATTTATACCGAGAGACAGTCTGTCTGCGCGGCATTCCACCCTTATCCCTCTATTTTTCTACCTCCATCTCTTTCTTTCTCTCTCTGCACCTACACCTCTTTTTCTCCCCTTGCTTTATTGGAAGCGCTGCTTTTAAATCAAGACCTCTACCTCACGCCATACACACAACACAGCAAGGCAATAAATTGATTCTTTCAATAGGAAAGGCACCCTACAAATTTGTATGTATGTATGAATGCGCCTCAAGTCGAAATGAAATTGTATGGGACTGGAAATCTACATGGATTTGAACGGCATATCTGCATACAATGAGGGCCGTGACAGCAAAAGATTGGGTATATGACATGATTTTTGTGTGAAGGTGCTACTGAAAAAAAATATTTTGAAACGATTGTTGAAAAGATCCATACATTGTTTCTGCAAGCTTGGAAAATTTTAATTAATTTATTTATTTTTGTTATATCTTTTAATTAATTTTGTATGTTTGAGCAGAAATTAGTCGATAAATTTCCATAAATAATGGTAATAATTATTGAAGGTATATTAAAAAAAAAATGAACAGTATTTTACCGTTTCATTTAAAAACACGTGAATTGACAGGCTTAAGAATATAAAATATTTGAATCCGGATGGATTTTATGTATTTCTGTCAAATAATAAGATCCTAGACTTCTAGGCATTTATTTGTTTTTCGTTATAGGAATACATAGAAGCGCATAGAAGCAGCCTCTAAATTTTCCAGTGGTGAGCATTTTTGAATAGATTAGTCTGTGCTCAATGGCTGCTACTCAGAAAACAGTAACTGATAGATCTGCCAATATTTATATTTTAATACATCTAAATTTAAAGAAAGTACTGAAAATCTTGCGAAACGATCAATCAGCAAGATTTAAAAGAAAAAATCCTGAAAATCAATAAAAAAGGAAATTTGTATGAATTTTAATTGTAACCAACTATTTTTGTCCTGCACTATGCCAATGGGAAATAAAATTTTTTTGGTATATTTTTCAAAATAATAAATTTAAAGTCTGTGATGAGATTGAAAGTCACTAAAATAAAAAAGGTTTTGATCTCGTGAAGAGCAATCTTGCACAATGGGGCGCGTAAAAGGTTTTCCCCGCTTTGAATTACGGCAAGTGGAGGTCAGAGACTTCTTTTTCCTGCTGGAAAAAGAGGCACCTGCTGTTTTAATACTCGCCTGCAGAGACGAGAGAGGCAAAGCGAGAAACAGAATGCACTGGATGACACTTGAAATATAATATATGCAAATGTAAAACGGACTAGTACTGCTGCTGCTGATTTTATGCCGGGCACTCTTTGTGCCTCGTTTTTTTATGGCTCGGGCAAAAAGCGGCTGTGTTTAATGTAGCAAGGAGCTGCTTTTAAAGTTTTTCATACTTCAAAGAGCTCGAGCCGCTGCTGCGAAATTATCCGGCAATCAATAAAAAAGTTCATGACGCGTACAAAGTCCGCCGCAGGTGAAAAGTCGTTTTGTGTATTTTAAAGTAGTAGTGCCGACAGCAGCGGACGAGAGAGGATTTTGAAATAATAAAACGCGGCAGGGTGTTGCCGGCGAAGAGCAATAAATTAGCCTGTCTCGACGATGCGAAATAATTAACGCTGAATTATAAATTACCCGCTCAGCGGCAGGTGCATTGAGAGCGTAATAAAATTTGTCATCACCGTACTATATATACAGGGGGCCCGCCCTTGAGTTTTGATGAATGGAAAAAAGAACACTCACCTGCTGGGCGCTTCAAGAATGGCCGCTCGGCACTACTTTTCTTTCAAGAGTCACAGAGTTGGCGAACTGGAGTAACGCACGATTTGTTTTTATTTTTTATATGGAGCACACGTGATGCTTCAGAGGGTGCGGGAGCTGTGTTGACTGCGTCGAGGCGGAAGGGCGACTGGCGAGCGGGTGAGATTCGCCGCCTCCGATCGCGGCGCCGCAAACCGAGGAACATGAATGCGCGCATGCCAAATACTTTCGTCACAAAAATATTATTAAATTCCGCCCGTTTCGCCCGATTATTGCTCCCCGGTCTCGTCCGTCGAGCAGCTGAGAACGTATACCAGATTTCCTGAAAGCAATCGTGTATTTGTCGTTATTGGAATAGAATATCTGTGCCGTTGGTCTTTTTCAGACGACATTGCATAAAATCCGGCGCAATAGGATAGTTTGAAAATTGCACTATTCGGAAGTTGGGCAAAAAGTATGGAGGTGTCAACCAGAGGATGAAATACATTTAATGCCTTTAATGATTTATCTGTGAGAAAGATTACTTGCATGAATATTAAGCTGAAATTTTGTAGGATTTTTTTAATTCCTCTTCTTATTTAAGCAAATCACAATAAAAATTGAGCTACATGTATGTATATTTTATGAAACGTTAAGACTGCACAAACACCTTAAAATCAAATACTTTACGCAGTTAATGACTCCTCATTGACATAGTCAAATCAAGTCATCACAACAATATAATTAGAGTTTAACGATTGTTGGAAATTTTAATCGCCATTGTTGCAAAGACTTGATTTGACTATGCCAAATCATTGTTGAATAATATTAGTAAAAGTATTAATAAAACATATTATATTTTACATACTATAAAGTAATTTATTTTCTAATACAAAGTATGAAAAGTTACAAAAATTAACTTTAAAAGAAGACGTTATAATTTTATTTTTTTTAACAAAACTTAAATTATTAATTATTTATTCCATTAATTATTTTGTCATTTCATAAATTTTGAAGCTAAATGGGGGGGGGGGGGGGGGAAATTTTATGAAGTAAATTAATATGTACTTAATTATTAGTAGATAAAAATATTTTAACGGATCCTTTGAATTATTATGAACTAAATTTTTAATATCAGAATGCGGCGATGAAATTTCACTTTCTATTTCAAATTTATGTCAGATAATAATTTTGATTTTTGATAATAACTTTAAATTTTAAACTACTATTTTTTAAGCATCGACCATTTAGGAATCGAATAATTTTTTGTATCAAATATACCAAAAATACATCTTAAGCTAAAGGGCTATGAAGGCAAGACTAAGCTTAAGCTTTACACGGTTTTCATTGAGAATAAATAAGAATGAAAAGAGCGAAACCTTTGAGAACCAGGACTGTTTTACTTACAAATTGTTTGAATCAATCCCAGCGAGACGCAAACATTTTAAATAAACGCAAAGTGTTCTTTGTTTGTGTTTGCGCTTTGCTGCAATTTCGCGCTATTTGCATGTTATGTACCGTTTGCGAAGTGGCAGGCTAACAAACAACGCAACAACGCTTTGCTCGGTGCTGCATTTGAAGTCGAGCGAAATCAGCAGCTAGAGCATAAAACTGCAAGAAAATTCTTCGCAATCAAAAAATGCAGAGCAAAATTTACATTTTCCAGCGTTTCAACGAGATTTTTTTTAAGATAAATTTACGAACATGTGCTTATAAGACTCAACCTAATGCTAAAAAACAATAAAATGCGTCACTCTTTCACGGTCAAAAACATTCATGTTAGGGACGGTTGAGCTGAGTAAAAAGGCAAAATTTAATTTATCTGTCAGTGCTAGTGGCCAGTACGAGCATCACTCAACAGCTGGTGCTCTGAGTAATATGAACTCCCACCGAATGAAAAGACTTTGGTGCATGGTGTGCCTTGAGCAGCTCAAAGTGGTTCTCCCAGTTGATATGATAAAGAGATAAGCTGCCGGACTGACAGTCGGGAAATGCTCACCATGCATGAAGAGGATTTTTGTCATCTGTCAGCAAGTAAGAAAGATCACATTCATTTTTTGACCGGCAGACGTCCCACGCTGCAGTGTAGCAAAAATGCAAAAAAAGGAACTCTACTATTTAAAAAACTCCCTCGCTGGGTCAATTTGTTCTTTAAAACTTTTCCTTAAACTAAAAGTGAGAGATAAAAGGAAAAGGTCGCGAATAAGGATTACTTTAATTTATCTGATTTGAGGTCTCTCGCAAGTTCCTCTAATCTGGCCGTTTTTATCGACCCCCGGCCACTCGCTACTTCCTTTCACTTTTGGCCATAATGCTCGGCAGAGAAGTTTTCCGAGCTACTTTGTTCCACGATATCAGGGATTTGAGTTTCAAATTCTATAAGTGGGCTTGCTTAATAAGCCTCTCTTTTCTTTCAGCTTCTCAAGGGGTTCGTGATATCGCGTAACGCGATCGATCGAATTTTGCTTATTAAATCATGAGATTTAGCTGAAAAAATATCATAACAATCCACCAGTTATCCACCCCTGGGAGGACAAAACATAAAAAAATATAGCCAATCAACCCTTTTGGCCTGCGAGCATTATGAAAATAATTGGAACGGAAGGGACGTACTCCATCAACAGTAGATTTGAATATCAATCACAAACAAAAGCAAAATGCTGAATGGAAGCAATCAAGATCATGCACGGAATGAAGGAATAGAGCGTTTTATTTTTCAACGCTCAAAGTCAATTTCATCAAATTTCCGTTCCTCGTTTCATATCAAAATAAAAACGTTATTAACACCGTCAGAACGAGATGGATGAAGTAATCAATGAACCGATGCTTTATCCCGTGAAACTGAATTTTTCCAATAAATTACTGCATTATTGACAATTTATTCGTATTTACACGACTTTATAAATTACCATCACGCTCATCACTTATGCATAATGATGTCAGCAATGTTTTAATAATAACGGTATTATTATTGCTGTTTATTTTCCCACATTATTACGATTAAAAAAAAAATGAAACCATATCAGATATCAATAATGAAAATAAAAAAATAAATATGACAGATTTTGAATTTTATTCACTTTTTAAAAAAAAATAGTGCTTTTTTTCTACGATTTTCAAGCTTTTCATAGACTTGAATGACCTCACTTGCCTGTGATTGTGTCCAGTGGTCCGGCCAAGTGAATATAACTGACTAGCTTTCCAGCCTTGGTGGACCCTTGGCTGGCTACTTTTGCGCCATAATATGGTGTGCATAATTCAAAATAACACCAAAATTGTGCCAAAGTTTGCTCGTAAAACAGCTTCGCAAAAATGAAAGTTATTTTAAAATTCAGAACATAAAGCAGAGGCATTAAATTCAGCGCGCTGTATCAAATTTATTATCTACCAAATGACCCACTGCATCGCGCACAACAGGCAAAAACATTCAGCGCGGCCAGAAGGAGAAAAAAGAATTCGTTCATATACGGTATAGGACTTGAATTTTATTACATTATGCTGTATAAAATAGGGCGCGCGCTGCTTCGGGCCACAATAATAAATAATTTTAGCCGCTGCCTTTCCAGCATAACACCCACTCTAAACATTGTTCCGCTGCAATTACATTATGCAGAGAGCGCATTAAGTTTTTGGCACCCTGCTCAACACTTTGCTATTAACTGCGGCCTTTTGTTTTCAGTGCATCACAAATTTTAAAAACACACAGACCTCCAGACAGACAAAACACATATTTCCAACGATGAGCATTTCAATTTATTTCAATTACCAACCACTCTGAAAAGAAGCTCCTGAGAGGGGAAGATTTATTTACGAATTCCTCGATAAACTCTCGGTGAGTGGCAGGGGAGGAAAAAATATATATAAAAGGCCCTATTTCTCCCACATCTCCATTCAGCGTCTCCACCGAGCAATTATTGCCTCAGCTGGCACGAATTCCAAGTCTTTGTGTTGAAAAGGGGCGGCGGGAGAGATGCGGCCCGGGGCGCGGAAATCGGCGCCCTTTGCTCTTCTCGATCAATTTTCACACCTTGAATTAATAATGGGGCGGCGCGCACTCGTTCCTCACCGGGGCTAAAGTAAGCATTCGCCCTCCCAATATATTATCGCCGCGATTATCTAGCGGCAGAAAAGACAGATAGCAAAGTGGAAGTAGGTTTAATAAAGCCGCTCTGATTTATTTAGCCCCCGGCGCGGTGCGAGGAAAGGGGCCATTGTGACCCGAGCTGGAGCTAAAGAGAGACCGGCAGGCACACAATGAATGTGTGTTATTATGTGCTGCAAGCAAGCAGTCGATGCTGGCGAGTGAGCGAGCGAGCGATTATATGGGTAAGCTGCACTTGGCACTGAATGCACAAGTGGAGAAGCGCGGGCTATAAATGGAGAGCGATTGTTTCTATACAAATTGCGCACTTCACGCCACCGCCACACGCTCCCTCGGTTGGCCCACACACCCTAATTGGGTGGCAAATTAAGCTGCCGGACTATCCAAACGGTTCAATACATTTCGGGTGGAAATCTTGCTGTGGTGAGTTGGTCTGCATTCACAACATCGTCAGTAGCTAATAATATGTTGTGAGTATTTGAGGATTTTTTGAAATGATGCCCGATTACATTAATTTTGTAACAAAATGCATTAAAATACATAACATCAGCTTCTGTGGAAAATATTTTTTAATATCATTAGATGGATAGTTATACTCTCAACCATTATTTTATTTAATTTTAAAATATTACAATAGTCCGTCAAAAAAATTTAAAACAAGTTTAAAACAAATGAAAATATTTTGAAATGTAAGTATCAAATTATGTAAAAAAAATTAAGTTATTTTTAAATATTACATAAATAAAACAAAAGTTATTTTTGTTAAAATTTTTAATATTGTGTTGAAATTTAAAATAAATACCAATTAACAAAAATATTAATATTTTGTCAAGAAATTTTTGCTTACAATTGCTTCTTCTATAATTATGCCGACGTTAAAAATAAATTATTGTTCCTCTCCAATTGCTCCGAAATTTATTATATGAACAAAATGATTTCTCTGGTGAGTCTGGTGACAAAGGCTACGCATCCCCAAACTATGTTGGTACACGGCTGCCGTCAGAGCCCTGTGGCCTTATGGCTTGGGCGGAAGACATCTTTTTTTTGGCCAACATAATAGATCTGATGCTCAGCCTTTGTCTGGTGATCAAAAAGTATGACTGTATTGGTAATTAGTTTAGATTTTTACCTTTAACAACTTCTTAACCTTTCCTGCGCTCGTATGAATCAAATTTATACTGTATGCAACCGGCGTAGCAAATATGAGAAGCCAGTTGCATAATTTTAATATTCCAGGAGTTTTTGTGTGGAAACTTCCCAAGTAAAAATTTTTAACTGATAATGAATTAATAAATTTTTATTCAAAGCAAATTTTGTGGACATAAAAGAACATTCAAACTAATCCAATAATATTCATTCAACCAAAATTATCTGGTCGGATAATCCTCAACTCCATTATAATAAGAAAGCTAAATCCTCCTTTTGAGACCAAAAATAGATTCCATATCCGTAAATATTGTGTATTTCAACCCTCTATTATCAAGTGAAACTCAATAAATATTTAAAAAAAGAAAGTGCAGAGCTCGGCGATAACGGGGATTTAATCTAGAGGCTTTGCAAAAATCCATGGTGCATATTTTTCTCTCTTCCACGCCGATGGGCTTATAAATTCAATAATAAAAAAGGATGGCCATTCCACCGGCGCCGCCCTGCTACTATTCTCAGAAGCATTCCCCGATAAAGTTGGTTGCTCAAATTTCTGTATCGTAAAAAAACGCATTCAATTGGGCATACGAAGAATCGATTTGGTCGGTCTGGCGCTCACAGCTCGCATTCAGACTCAAGTCGGAAATGTACAAACACTCTCGCCTGATGGCGAGGAGAGGCCCGCCCGTCGCGGTGATAGCGAAATATTGACTGGATTCGCGAGCCGAGAGACGCCGGAAGTTGACCTTGGCACCATCACTCGCAAATGGGAACACATTCTGGTGACAAGGCTGGCAGAGCTTGTGTTCGGTCGGTCTGTTCTCAGATTTTATCAGAATGCGTGTCGACGTGCCTCTCGGCACCTCGCTAACCCATTTTTACAGGATACATGTCTTTGTGGGCACATATAGATCTTTCCGCAGATACACTCGCAGCTCGTTCAGACGCTCGTTTGCTTGATGGCAAGGGAATTTCGTAAAGAGGTGCTCTACATTGCTGCGTAAAAGAATTTGAACCCAGATAACAAGAGATCTCGTACAGGTCATCATGCCATTTGCACTAGAGAAATAGTTTAATTCCATTATTTACTACATTGACATGTATCTAAAATTTATCTTAATTTCACGGTGTGATGAGAAAAAATATAGCGTGGCTGCAAAAAATGCAAACAACTTTGACAAAAATAGGACGAAAACTATGGTAAATCGGGGGGGGGGGGGGGGTCAGGCAAAGAATAGTAAAAAATTCTCAATGAAGATATGCGATCGGCCTCAGCCTTCCCGTCACAACCCTTCTTTCTTTTCAGGCAATATTATTTTAATTTCTGTTTTAATAATATTATTTAATCAATTTAATATTTTTTAAAATTCCACAGTCAATATTGATATAATCATGTCCTTTTTCTTTTTCAATATGTACATTGTATATTTTATTTTTAGTCAATAATCACATTTAATTTGAACAAAATTATGAATAACTGCTGTTCATCAGGTTAATTTGTTCAAAATGCCAGTAAAATAAATTCTTAAAAATAACATAAAATATAATAATAAATAAGGTTATTAAGGCTATTGCACTAAAAATTGGAGCCTTCATCAAACTTACCAAATTTCCTGCAGGCAATTATTCAAAATTTTATTGAAAACAAACGGAAAGTGGCGCTACGCTGTGATTATTTGATCGCAATCAGTCGCGGTGAGCACACAAGTGGGATGCAAACTAATTTCCGAGTGTCATAAAATACCACTCACTGCTGTATGTGCGCAGCTCATTTATTTTCTGTTTAATCAGCAGCACCCCCACCCGACCCGCCAGCACCTCCCTCCCGTCTAGGCTAAAATTCACTATAAAATAATAATAATAATTTCGTCGCGCCAACAAAACCATCGCGCAGTTTCATTTCCTTTCATTAAATCGATGGCGCATGCATTTTGAAAATTATGTATTATCGCGTTCACGCTTGGGCAATGCTGTGAGCACGAAAAGGAAAGTGAATTTTAGTGAATGGGCACACGTCGTATTTCAACGCGTGCTTCCTCGCCAGTTACCGGCCCCTGCTCATTTGAGCGCGAGCATCCAATCTTTGACTCGGCAGGCAGCCGAGCTCCGGCGAACGCGGCAAGGCATATGCCAGATCAATGCCTTTAAAGCAACCGGCGCTGAGACTCGCTGGGCTTGTGTGAGGAACATCGTTCGCCCGATGAAAAATTGTGCCGCACACGCCTGTCTGCGCCTCTTTGTGCACTTTTGGCAACGGTTATCACCCTCCAGCCAATTACACTTTCATTTTTCTTTTGAATTTCCACAAAGGCTTCGTTCTGCCCATAAACACTTTAAATCGTTTTTGAAGTTGACGTAGAATAATAAAACCTAAAGGGGTAAAGTTCAAATTTGTCTTTTGTAACGCATCTTTTCAATACATATTAGTTTTTCAATTTTCTAATACGTAAATATCAAATCATAATATGAGGACGATTCAAAAGCCTAACCAAGCCCATGGCTAAACTGACCGGCCATTTAAATCGAATGGCGAGTTATGTCAGCTTCGGATGTAAGTTTAGCTTTTCAAATTTTTCTATCGCTCTCGGCTCACGTTATAATTAAAAAAATATTAATTTTCCTTTTTTATTATAGAGAAAATGATAGAATATACGGAACTGAAAATTAGAAATTTTGATTATGCGCTGCATAATCTGTTTGCCCATTGGCAAGCGCTTGTAAGTTTAATGCCTACCTTGATCTGCTGGCCGCTCTTCCTGCAGTCCAGAAGAAGCTCTTTCTGGAACAATTACATTTTTTTTCACTTGTGAATTAATTAAAAGAGATCCCTATTAATCGGCGATGACATTTACTGTCTAAATTCACAAAAAAAAAACTTTTTAAACTTTTCTCCATGCTTTGCCTCATGCTGCACACACAAAACACATATCACTGATGAATTTATTTATTTATCTAAGAAATGATTGATGACTTGGAAAATTACACACGCACCTGATTGGCCAACCTCCTGACTTAGGCAATTTTTGCATATTAACGGCGGGAAGGGCACGCGTGTCATTGCAATAACTACTGCCAAGCAGATCAATTTTTTATTTATCTACCAAAATGGTTATTTATTTTATTTAGAGCCACAAAATTCTGAAATTTTAATCCATTTCTTTTAATTGAATGAAATTAAATCAACTGAGATATACAGAATAATTATTAAGAATTAAAACAAATTTAGAGTTATTTCAAGATATTTTCAATTTTAAGAAAGCGCATAAATTTCTTGCTTTCTGCAAATATTAAAAATATGTTATTTAAATTAAATACATATTCCAGCAGTAGCTAAAATAGTGTTAAAGAGCGTTCAGAAGGAGATAACTAGATTAAATTTAATATATACGTCAAAATGATATTGTATGTGTGTATTTCAATTCTTTCTTATGTAAATAAACCCAAAAATTCAACTTAAATAATAAATTTTCTTGAATATAAACTACTAAATTGCTGTATTCTATAAAAAAAAGTAATAATAAAACTTCATAACAAAAAAGAGTGACTAATTTTACGAGCTTGATTAATTCATTTTATGAAACGTTCTGTTGGGGAGCAAAAGCGCAACAGATTCGTTTGATCCAATTATGACTAATGCCAGACATCAAATGGCACCTCATTCGAATTCGCCGGTCAGCACGCAGCATTACGGAAGCAATTTGAAATCCACACAAGCGAGGGATATTTGAGCAGGGTCTTGAATGGCAAATCATGCACGTGATTCCGGGCATTCCGCCGGCAATGGCAATCACATTTTGCAGCAGGGTCTGCCAGCAGCCGGATTGGGTCGAGCGAGTAAGGTGTGCGCGGCTATTGAAAAGCACTTTGAAGCACGCCAAACACGACGAGTTGTTAAATCCCTCTCGGTTCAAACAGCGACGAATATAGGGGATGTGAGAGAGATTTTGATGCTGCCGGTGTGTGTCAAAAAGGTGAGCGAGCTGGACACACCGTGGCTCGAATTAAAACGAGATTACTCGGATTTATGAAATGATACATGTTCGCGGCGTTTAATTAAAAAAAAGCGTCACGAAATTTACAATTTACGTTACAGCTCGCTCCGCACTGGCAATCAATTGCGTCAAGTCAAAAAGGTAAATTAAAAAGCGCGAAATTAAATTGCTGCGCACGAGCTCGGGCGCAATCAAAACAGTCCTGCCGCCGGCTGTGCGCTAAATGCCCATTTTTACGGCTGGGAAAAAGCTTTTTTTCCCTTTCGTCGTTGTGAAACGAAAAAAAAATGTGAGGCCAATATGTGATGCGCACATTTTTATGGTGTAATTCGCCCTTCCGTTGTCCGTTAAAATACCGTGAACTGCTGCTGCTGGAATCCCGTTATGGAATGGCGGCGCCATAACAAAGCTCATTGTGAATTTCTGCAATGTGGTATTTAGCAGTTTGGTGTGTGTAACTACGTTTATTAAATAAAATTCGAATGTCGTTTCGGGACATCATGAAATGAATTGGGCCAAAACAAACGCACAAAAATATTTTGGGTGTTTGTTTGAATTGTATATTGTCCGTATGTTGACAATTTTATTTTGTATTCAAAATGAATGTAATAATCAGATTATTCTCCTTGAAAATAGAATTAGATTATACAACTTTGTAAATAATAGAAAAGAAATATAGTGAGTTCAACTATAAATCAACGTATAATAATTGCAATTAATAAATTTTACTCTTAATACTTTTAGATTACTAAATTTATTAAAAAACATTTTTGAAATTAATAAAGTAATAATTTAGGAAATTTATTTTTTAATCATAATTTTTTACGTTAAAATAATGTTTCTAATAAGCCAAAAGTGTTAATAGACATTTTTAAATAAATAAATTTATATAAAATTTACGTAATTGCATTTAAAAGTCAATTTGCAGGTTAAACATTTTCCTTCTTCACAAATATACATAACTTATAGCTGATAATTTTAGCGTTATTGGTTTTTTAAATTTTTATTTCATTCACTAGTAAAAAAATCAAGGATTCAGCATTGTCTTCAATTATAAATTCTCAAATTTAATTTTTAAGCCTACATTACTCTTTTTCAGTAGAATCAACAAAAGAGAATATTCCGCATATTTTCCCTAAGCTTCATTATTTCAGGAAAAATCTCACCACAAACCAAACACATTTATTTTTATCCCTCATTGTGATTCAGAACATTACAATAGTGTTTCATATTTGATGCACAAATTTCTGCTGCCGAAATTGTAATTCCGGCTTGCTTCTGTTGATGAACCGCCATTGAATTCAAATTCAAACACGAACTGCAATATAAATTTGAATGGATGAGGTCGGCGCCGCTCTGATAGATTCAGACCATTCACTTTCGAATTAATATTCACCGCAAACACCATCGCGCCCATTCAAGTCAATCGATGCTGAATAATAAATTTATGTACGAATGCTTACCGGTTAAATACAGTGAATAAATAATGACGCCTCAAAATAAAGGAGAGGCTTAACTTGGCTTTGTTGGATGAGACCGGCAATGGAACAAGACTGCACTTTATACAGAGCCGCATTTGCCATACACCGGGGGTCTGATTCCAAACAAAAGACAAAAGGCCGCCGCAATAATAATTACTGGGGCATTAAATCTAATCAAATCAGGGCTGGTGCAGCGCTTTGCCGGAATGTATTATTGCGAGTTTGAGCTCCAAATCCACCTCGAGCGGACGATTCTCCACACAACCATAATGATATTTGCGCAGAGTAGGGCGATCAAAAGGATTAATATTATTAAGGCGTAGTCTCCTCATTTCCAGACCCGGATAAACACGATTATACCTCTGACTCAAATACCATCAAATTCCACTTGCTCCCTTTTGCGCATATGTTTGTTCACAAATAAGTTAAATCGTGGATGTAAAAAATCAGGTGGATTTTCAACTAAATTGAAAAGATTGAGTAATTCTATACTTAATAAATGTGCATTGATAAAAATAAAATTAATTTATTCCCCTTCACGCCGCCCACCTTCTTATCTCCAGATGTGGCAAAAACATGTAAGCAGACAGTCCGATAAAATCCTTTGTTTTCTCTCCCAAAAGACGATCGACCTGCGAGCCTCTTGTGATTTTAGAGCTGTGGCAGTTTCATGACGCGGAACAAAAAATCCGACAGTTTGCGACGCAAAAAATCGTCATAAAGAGTAATGATTCAGACAGTACTAGCTGCTTCCCTCTTCTTATCGGCGCTTCTCTTGACAAGCCCGCCCGGTCATTATGTAGTATTTTAGGCAAAAAATGCTCCGAGGAAGACCAGCGAGCAACGTGCAGTTTTGGCGCGGATCCTAATGTGCTTTGGACGAAATGCGGGCATGTGCACCGCGTTTTATTGGCAATTGGAATGTAGTATTACTCATATTATTTTCAATAGAGGGTCAATTCAATTGAATTAAAATATCTACATCAATTCTTAAAAAGTTAATCTAAGATAATCATAAAATAATCTATTTTTAAATTAAAATTAGACGCTGCATATGTATCTAAAAATTTCAAATTTATGTAAATCTATTTTGAAATATATATTTTAATTGTTTTATTACATATTCATTTACATTTTTTAATATTATTAAAAATGAACTTTGATTGATTGAACTGAATCTTGATTCATTGGAGACTTTTACCAAAAGCCTTTTTTTCTCGAGCTCAAGTTCCAAACATAAATTCGGAAAATTTAATATAAGTTTTGAGTCAATATTTCCAGGGCAGTTATTAAGATTTGCGAGCAAAATCGAGAATTTATTGTAATAATTTCTTATTCCATGGAGAAGGAAAGAGTCAAGGCTCGTTCTATGTTGGCCAAAGATATCAAGAGGGCTGCTCGATCTCTGCACCCTCTCGTAACGCCTTGGTGGCAGAACGTATGTAGCCGGTCGGTTGGGTGGTTTTAAAGGCTTTGTACACAAAGGGAGTGACCCCCTGAGCGGGTGTATTTATCAAACGGCGGTGGCGCAAACTTTTACTCCTTGCCAGCAAGAAGAGAGTGCGAACAAAGTTTCCGGTGGCAGCAGCATTGTATCGAGCTGCTTCTTTTTTAATTAAAATGGGGATAGCGGCCGACAGATAAGAAGAAGCTAGCGGAGCGAGAGATTTATAATTCTCTACCCACGCGGATTAAAAATGCATGGAAACGTGCGCTTTAATTTAGAAAAAGAGAGACGACTCGCCGCCGGATGAGTATATTCTGGGGGACAGCAGTTTTAATCAATCAAGAGACGGTTAATTTCCAAGGGACTGAAACTGGATGGAATGTTATTAATTTTTTTTATCAATTCTTCAATGAAATATTTTGGTTAAAGAAATTCGTTTTTGTCAGCAAAATTTTGATTGCAAAATCATTGATTGATTAAAAAGCCATCAAAAAAAGGAAACGTTTGCAGTTTATTTTCATCAATTTTGCTTCCACAATCATAATTCACAGTGTGACAAAAATGCGCTATAAAAGCTGAGCTATACATTTTAAATTTTATAGTTTCCAGTGGAGCTAACATTTCTACACAAGGGGGAGGTGCGCGATTAAGCTGTTATTATAAGAAACTTTAACACTTTAGATTGTTGTGCGAAAACAACGGAGAAATGCTGAAATGGGGACAGCGGCGGATAACGAGTTGAACCAGGAAATCCAAGAACTCTTTCGTGTCCCTTTTCTTACCACCATTACTTTTTACAATCCAGGCCCACGATGTCTGCGAGATGGGTTGGAATTTCTAACCGAAAAATCATCTTGTT